GACGAGGTAGCGAACTCTCGTTGTCACATCCGTGACGAATAACAGACGGCTTTGTTCGCCGGCTACGGTTGCCGTTAACGCGTGCCGACTTGGAGGTTTCCCGAATTGCTTTTCGAATCAGCCGATTTCGTGTTGGGAAAATTGCAGGGTTTTCTGCAATTTCTGGAAAGCTTTCCATACTGGTTATGATACCAGCACCAGTCGGGGTTATCTGTCTCTCGTGGTCTAGAGACAGATCGCTTACGAGAAATGCTTCTACGTGGTGTGCGCGATATCTTACGGTCGGTACGAAGACTAAGATAACGCGTGAGTGTGTGACATAAGTCGTTTATATAATAATAATAATAATATCATTCTGAGTCGTTTGAGGTTTTTCTTTGACTGAAAATACCTCGGTAGTAGATTTCGTAATTTCTAAAATGCGGTCGGCAGATGCAGCTAGTTCGTCTAATGCGTTGTTCTGGAACGAGACCAGAACTGCTTGCACCTGTTGGGGAAGTTTTGACAAGAAGAGTTGTTTGAATAGACCTTCGTCGAAAGTTCTTGGGCCTATAATCTCTCTCATCCGTTGCAACATGTCTGTCGCAGAACCGTGTTGCAGGTCGATATTGTTGAAGAGTTGATCTAACCTTTGTCGATCGGTTAGGTCTCCTCGTTTAAGAATCGAGCGTTTTAAGATTTCGTAAGGATCGGAAACATCACTATTAAACATACTAGGTGTTACGTACCTGTTGAATTCGCGCGGTAGTGCCTTGACTACTGTGAGGAATTGTGCACGTGTGTCGATCACGCCGTGCTCGGAGAAGTCGGCTTCTGCGTAGCAAAACCAGGCTTTGATGTTGTCGGGCCAGAAAGGCATCAGTTGAAACGAAGGCGGGACAAAGTCTTAAGCTTGAGTACTTTAGGTGTCTGTTCAGTCATGATGAAGTATGAAGTACGATAATGAACGAGGGGAAAATATATATATCCAAGAAAAAGCACGAAAAAAAATCACAATGTTTAAAAAAAATAAAAAATAAGGCAATGATATATAAAAATCCCAAAAAGGAACAGACTTACAGTTGCAATTAGGTGTACCAGATCACGACGGTCTCACCAATGATGATATCACAGGTATTCAGTGTTTGACAACGCTTCTACCAGTAACACCTAATGTATTTCGTTCCCGCCCAGAGAAATCAAAAGACAGACTCGAGGAGATCGGAAGAGTATATTTGGCGATGACCAATATATCGGAATTCTCTGATCTGATCTGGCTAGCGATTGCGATTGATATTGAGCACGGCGTTACCACACGTGATCTGGTGCGGATGCCTGACCTAGCGCCTTCAGTTAGATGAGTTTACTAAAACATATGGTCAGCATCCCATCTCGAAAACTTACAGAGCTATTTATTTTGGGGATTTATTTACCGCTACAACAGCTTGCTCCTGTTGAGAAAGTTTAGATAAGAAAAGTTGTCTGAATAAGCCATCATCGAATGTTCTTTGGGAGACAACCCCTCTCATTCTTAACAACAGGGCTGTCACAGAACCGTGTTGTAGGTCGATGTTATTAAGGGGTTGGTCTAACCATTGTCGATCGGTTAGGCCTTCGTGTTTAAGGATAGATTGTTTAACTGCTACGTAGAGTTCCGAACCATTCAGCGCCCCGCATGAAATGCCACCGAAAACGCATATGGGATGCGTGACGACTGATTTATTTGTTTATAAACTTTGTATGTCTGAAGTACATGATTTATACAGTGGAAGCTGAAATTGTGCTTCAAAATTAAATGGACAGAACCAGACGAAATCAACCAACAAGCACTGAGAGTTGACTCTAAGCTTCTTGTACTGGTTTGTTACAGTGCCTAGGTCGTCTTATCACGTGCAAATTAACGGGCTACAAGTTACAACAATGTACGACGAAGATTCCAAGAAAAGAAAGGAAAGCCAGTAGACTGGATATTGACATAAAAGAATATTGAACGAACCAACAAGATCTCGAAGGTTCTAATCTGTTTCACAGTCCATTTGATTAGTTATCGGACCTTATTTGTATAAATCAATGATAATCACACTGATATTTTGTTGATGACATAAACCACTTTCAAAAAGAAAGTCATCAAGCAGACTTTTGAACCGGGTCACAGTCTTACTGTGATGGTGGTTTTATGTTAGTCTGTTCCACATGGTTAGAGAGTGAATTTCGAATACTTCTGAGGTGATTTTGTGTAGGTTCTCGGAACTGACAGAGTATTCTCTTTTTATTGCGATGGTTGTGGTATGACATGATAGGGTCTTCGGGGTGGATGCAGAGTGGTAATAAGTACCACTCATGAACCCGTAGGTAATGACAATTTTGACTTGATCAGGAGAGGTTACAACTTGAGTTATTGACATCTTTGTTCGCAATCCCTATTGTCGGAATACGATGGAAAGTATTTTTGGAAACCCTTTTCAGAAAATCTTTACTTTTCATCAAATCACTATGTGATTGTAAACGAACTGAACAAAGGTGCTAAACATCATGCTCCCGACTGTCACGACAAGACTAGTCAACGTGGACTTTGATGTAGCTTTCACGTAAAATGTTATCAGTTACGCAGTTTGATCATTGAAAACATACAGTCGAGGGATAGGCCCTCCATTCTAGTAGCATAACGAAGTGTTCTGATGCCCACCTTGACCATAATTCTACACTTTTTTGAGTAAATGAAAGATTCGCAGACGATGATGGACATTACAAGCTATCAGAAGAGTGTTTATGCACGGGAAGTTCATTTGCTTTAAACTTCTGACTGATCAGGTTTTAGAATCATCACTAGTACTCTGGCAGGGGAGTGAGATGTGGCGACTAATAAATGGCTAAGACAAATAAGCATTTGAGCCCTCGACATTGATGCTTACCATATTAATTTTACTGATTATATCTGAAAGCGCTCGATTATTCATTTGCACCAGATCACGAGTGGGTAGGCTGTTCTACGCATTCCTTGCAATCACTACCCAGCTTAGATCAATAGCTTTCCAGCACATCTTTGAACTTGTTCTTCCCCGACCTCTGATTTGACCAGGTTGGTGCCTTTCGATTATAAAGATGTTGCGGACAAAGACGTTGTCAACTCACATCTGTGGCATATGTAATGACAAAACACAAGTTTTTTGCGTAATGATTGTATTACTGTATAAATTTTACAAATTATTACAAAAACTAGGTGTCTGGATTAAATAGTTATAACGAAAATAAACTAAAACTGATGGTGTTTACGATATTTTTTATGGCAAGTTGAATACTTTGATGTTAACGCCAATAACTATAGTTTATACGAATTAATTAGTGCCTTGTGACTGATAATAATAGGCTAGCAGAGAATGAGAGACATGTACCCACGGCTGTACTAAAATATGGCTGCTATGACTGGCTAAGGGCCGTTAACGAGAAGTGTATTTTGCAGCAAGGAAGATTAGAGTATAAATCAAACGCCGTCAAGATTATTTATATAGGGGTATTGCTTACTGCTATATATCTTGTCTCTGGGAAAGTTGGTAGGTTCTTTGCTGTGTATAAACCTCTGAAGGCTAAAATAATTGCCCGAAATAACAATGTATTCAGAATTAAATAAGATTAGAATTTCAAATTCAGATTTGTGTAGTAAGGACAGAAGGCTTAGGGCTTATGTTATTCCTCTCTAGTATGCTTCTGTGAGTGTCTAGCCTTCATATGAATGAGTCAATTGAAGGTTCAGGTTCAAAGAATTGATGACTTGGTGTAAAAACCTCTCTGAGATGTCACGACCAGGTAGGAAGAAAAAGAGAGAATATATTAGGTTGAAATCATTCCTTAGTGTTCAGATCACCTCTTACTCTGTGATAGGGCAGAGTAAAGAGCTCTAGCTTTTCAAGCCGCTCTTTGTATGGTAAACTCCGGAGTTCTGGAATTGTGTGGCTAGCCGCCCTCTATACTTTTTACAGGATATCCGAGTCACATTTAAAACGGGAGCTTGCAGCCTGGATGCAGTTCTCATGCTTAGTTCTCACTAAAGTTGTATATACTGTGGTAAACATGGTAGTATCCAACTTGATGAATATCTGTCTTGAAGCTCAGAGCGTTCAAAACCCCTTAGCTGCTACCTCCCAGGAATGAACCGTGATCTTAAGGTCATAACTCACTGTCACCCAAAGATTCTTGTGAGAGCAGACCACTGGTACAGTCACTTCCCCCATGCTGTGCCTAACTACCTTTGTATCTCCGAAGCGCATGTAGACACACTTTACCATGTTGATAGGCATCAGCCAGGCAGACCAGCTAATCACAATATTTAGGTCTGCTTGACATGCGTATATATCTGCATCTTCTGTTATTTCTCTCCAAATTTTTTACTTCGTCAGCGTATAATGACATTTGGGACTCTACTATACTTGGGGGATCATTTTCATACAGTATAAAGTTAAGGACCTAGGACCTTGACGTACTCCCCTAAGCATTGATATCCACGTGAAGCACTTTGAAAACTGTTGTACACAGAACTCTCGGTAATTTCTGTGTCCATCTGGTAAGCAAACGATACTTGTTAGAGTAAAACTTTAGTTGGAGATGTCATTTAGAGCTCTTAGTTTTAAAGTGATTGTGTTCTTTATACTTTATGAACTATGTTTCATTGAATGTACTCATATGAAGCAGTTGAGAGTCATTCCAGACGCTTGAAATGGAATCTTCAGAAAACTTATTTACCGGATATTGCTCTTCAGTATGCAGAACTCACTCACTAACTGGACAGAAGGTGGTAGAAAGTCCTGGGTTAACCTCCATCAAACCTTGAAATAGTCAGCCTCAAAATCAATAAGTCGGTTTGAAATTTTAAGATATAAAGATGTAAGTAGTTGATTGTAAGATATAGTTGTTAATTAATCTGCGTCTAAAGTGTTTGAATGAACTATTACTAAGATTTATATTACCCTGATACTGTTTCACTACACCATTTTGATAGTTGTAAATTAGTTGTCGTTTTGATGACTGAATGAGTTTCTGCAAAAAAAGAATAAGCCACCGTCATCTTCAAGTGACCGTGATAATTTCTAGTTTGATAATCATAGTAAGATCTAATCTTTGATTGATTTTATAATTTAGGGATGTGCAGTTGCCTTGATTACTATTGGTAGTATATTTTATAGTTCAGTTCGTAAATACAATGGCAAACTTGAGACGACTGTCAAAGGAGTAATAAAATGCCTTGTCATAGTCGGATGTATTATGATTTTTTCTGGATTCCTAGGTCTCTTTGGATCTTGCTTAAATAGTAATGATGTACTTTGCTTGGTATATCTTCACACTTTATAGTTGAACTATTTAATTTTGATTAATTTTCAGTTTTCTGTTGGTTTGGTCACCATAATTATTGTTCAGCTTGGAACTGGAATAACATGCCTTTGTTATCATGTAAAGGCAAGTTTTTTCGTTGGTGATGAGATTTTATAGTTGTGGGATAATCTACATTTGAGCATGAAGAAAGCAGTTGAAAATTATCATTTCAATAAAACGATAAGCACCATTATGGATAAAATTCATAGAGATGTAATTATCATTTCAAGCTTATTTGATTACAGCTTAAATGTTGTGGTTCACTTAATTACTTAGAATATGGAGATAAAATTCCCTCGTCCTGTCATGAAGATGGTTCCATTTACAAAAATGTATTGTCAAAATAACATGTTTTTACATTATTATTGTTTACTTGTTTGTTTTCACGAGTATATAAGTGCATGCACCTTTCCGTAGTAGATTTGGTTATTGTATAAATCACTTATAAAATAGTTAGCTTGGTGGTACTACTGGTTAACCAATAGTCTTTCTCTAGTATGTTATTAAGGCGTTAAGCAACTCACAAACATAAATACTAAACGCGAGACCCTGTCTGACTGTCCCTATGCTAATTTGTATTGCCTATTCACAATTACTTTGACTGCAGTAAAGCTGTGAAATTTTGGTTACAGCCCTTGATTTATAAAGTGAATCTGCTTTATGATTTCAACGAGCTTCGAAATAAAAGTATGTTAGTTAACAATTGGCCTTTGTACTACAAACAGGTCTCAAGTAAGCAAATACATTATCACTGAAGGAACTAACCACTGAGTTTTGAGTAAGTACACAATGGCTGGTAACTAGTCCGTAAAATACATTTTGTTGAAGTAGATGACTTATGGACATTCTAGTTAATGCGTTCAGTGGACAATGACTTGTCACGTGTTAATCGCCACCATCATTCAGTGTGTATTGTTGTCTGTATACAATTAATGTCACAAAGTGGCACTCAAACTGTCATATCAATCTGTATGTAGATCTTTTAGAAACCTTAATAATTGGTTCCCGTTTTGAGTCACTTTTTATGCTTTATCATGATCAGAAAATGTCAGGACTGATAACAAAAAACAACCAGTTAGGTTATCTCTATATACACTAAAAAATACTAGACCCTAGAAATGTAAATCTTCAAATCGCAACACTACGGATCATTATGGAACAATCAGTTGAATGGAATTCATCACTCTACATCAACTTCATTAACTACGAGAATGCATTTGATAGCGTGGACTGGCCAACACAATGGAAGCTTCGACACTACGGAGTAACTGAGAAGATAGCAAATATCACACAGACTTCCGATGATGCGTTAAACTGCAAAATCGTGCATGAAGGACAATTGGCAGACTCGTTCGAAGTAAAGACCGGTGTCAGGCAAGGTTGCTTACTCCCACTTTTCCTCTTTCTCCTGGCGATCGACTGGATCATGAAGACGTCAACATCTGGAGGTAAGCATGGGATAAACTGGACAGCTAGGATGCAACTGGACGACCTAGATTTCGCAGATGATCTGGCTCTTTTATCGCACACATAACAACAAATGCAGGAGAAGACGATTAGTGTAGTAGCAGCCTCAACAGCAGTAGATCTCAATATACACAAATGGAAAAGCAAGATTCTTCGATACAGCACAGCGTGCAACAATCGAATCACACTTGATGGAGACGATTTGAAAGATGTAAAAACATTTACATATCTGAGCAGCATCATTGATGAACACGGCGGATCTGATGCAGATGAGAACGTGCGGATCGGAAAAGCAACAGCAGCATATCTACAACTGAAGAACATCTGAAAATCAAAACAACTGTCTGTAAGCCAACACCAAGGTCAGAATTTTCAATACAAATGTCAACACAGTTCTAGTGTATGGGATGTAAACTTGGAAAACTACGAAAGCCATCGTTCATAAGATACAGGTGTTTATTAACAGCTGTCTACGCAAAATACTTCGGATCCGTTGGCCAGACATTATCAGCAACAACCTACTATGAGAGTGAACAAACCAAATTCAAGCTAACGAAGAAATCAGGAAGAAGCGCTGGAAGCGGATAGGACACACATTGAGGAAAGCACCCAACTGCGTCACAAGACGAGCCCTCACATAAAATCCTCAAGGCCAAAGGAGGAGAATAAGACCGAAGAACACATTACTTTGAGAAATGGAGACAGACATAAGAATAATGAGCAATTAGATAGAACTGGAAAGGAAGGCCCATGACAGAGTGGGTTAGAGAGTACTGGTCGGCTGCCTATGCTCTATTGGGAGTAGCAGGCGTAAGTAAGTAAGTAAGTAAAACATGTAAATTCGCAAACTCCGCATCACACTCTAATCTAGATAGATTGCGATTGAACAATACTGTTTTTTTCACCCTCTACGAGAGGGTGTCTTTAAGATAAAAAGCTATTTTGATTATTATTTGTAATAAATAACAATCTGTCATGAAAAACGGCACTCAAGACCAATTTATGAAGAACGTAATGATGCATTTTGCAGAAATTGGTACTTTTAATCTTTCGAGTGCTTATAGTCCATTAACTAATACCATCTATCCTTAAACATTTAAAAATTAGTGGGTACTGAATGTGTTCTATTTTTATGTTAAACTTTAAGCATTCTTGAGTTGTTTGCCAAGTACCTGAATGTTTTTACAGTCTCCTTGAAAGCCTTGGTGTCTGCGCTAGTTAAACTTCTACGGTGGTCATTTTCACGATTCCACTGAGTACATTACCTAACGAAAGGGTTAATTCTAACATTTTTTAGTCATTGTTTGGTTATGGTTAATATAAAAATAGGTTACAACAAAATATTAAAGACTTAGCGATGGGGAGCGTTTGGTTCTTGAGTAGCATCAGGACTATTTTATTGAGTATCGTCAAGCTTATTACGTTAGGCTTATTTAACAAGCTAAGAATGTTTGAGTGTTTTATGGTCAACCTACTTGAATTTCAACTGAAAGAGAAATGATATCTGTTACCAAAAAGAGGGCTTATTGCAAATAACTTTAATACGTTGTTTAAACATATATTGACTTTCTTAAGTAATTTTCTACTAGTGATGTCTTGCCATTTTCATACAGGGCTAGGATGATATGCCCCTTATTTATCCTTCAGTTTATGAAGCACATAATGTTAAATATCCTGTAGAATTACTTGTAGAAAGTGTTTTATGCCCCCTTCTAGATATTCCTAAAGCTAATTGTTAGCTGTCGGCTCTTAAGTATAGTTTAGTAAATACCCACGACTTAAAATACTTTGATGCTCTTCGCCTTTTCTAAACTTAGTGAACGTTTAGTTTTTAGGCAGAAGTGAGCTAATGCTTGACCAAACTTTTATTGTACAACTCACAAACTTTTTAAATGCCATACATCGTATTCACGCATATATGTGCTGTAATAGACCGATCCGTTTACAGTATCACACACAAAAACGCAAAGTTTTTACTGAAGCTAGTTATGGGAGGGGTGGTTTATGCTGAAATATCAACTCAACCAAAAATAATGTATACCAGGAGTTGTACCTTGTCGAATCCTTCATGAGTTCCACAAGAGCAGATTTTATAACTATATTGTCTAGAGCTCATTCAAACAAGCCTTCCAAAAGATTCGTTTTCAGATGTTTGGGGTCTGTGATGTACAAACTGAAATCTAAGGTTAAAATCTATCTAGAAATATATCACATACTTTACAATTACGACTGCAATAAACTAGATCCGCCAATAGCCCTTATATTTCGGGTAGCTTTCATGAGACTTTCTCAATATTGAAAAGTATGTTATTTCTGATCAGTATTACTGCAGCCCCTACAAACTATAAGTTTTTTCTTTACTTTTACGAAATTTTGGAAATCGAGATCACAGTTCTCCACGGGTGGAGTCAGCCGTATTTCCTTCACTGTGATTGTGTGTAGTCTATACGATTCAGTTTACTGGAAAGACTTTATGTTTTTTTAAGGTGGTTTAGTCACCACTAGCTTTCTAAGTCTCAAGCACAAAAATCTTTACCTATGAGGCCCCTAAATGCCCTGGTACGGTTAAGGGTGGGGAGAGTCCGCTCTCCCTCTCAAAATGCTCACACATGGCCACGCGTATATAGCCTCTGCCAGGAAAGTCCTACTCACTGCCTTCTCGTGGCACTACTGTTGTTTACGAAAATGAGAGAACGAAAACCGAATGTCCGGCGCTTTAGCCGGATTTCAAACCAATGGTGCACATGGGCTTTAGTATCCTGAAGGAACAAATGGCGTATGAAGCAATTGTTGGTCACCGTCTACCATGGGACTGCATCTCCTTATGATGCTCCACTGCCTTGTGGATCAGACCTTCAGGTTGAAGGCTCGGGGTGTGGCCCTCTAAGAAAACTACCTGCTTCGGTTTGGGCACCCGGACAGTATCACAGGCCTCACACAAATCAAATGAGATTTGTGTGGCGCATATGTATTTGGTGCCCCCTTGTACCAATATCTGTGTTAAAATAAATAATAATAAATGATGAGGCCTATGTTATTTTTACCCTATTGTCACAGAAAGCATTACGTACTAATATAATTTACAAATATTCTCTAGTAGAACGAATGCATGAAGTGCATGTATTACGAAAATCACATTCCTCACCAAAAAATCGATTTTACTAAAATTAAAAATTAAGTGCAGAGATCTTGTTGCTGAATGAGATGAATGAAGCTTTATGTTGAAAGATACCATTAGTTTATTGTTTTCAATTTGAATTTTCCTAATGCATGAAAGTTAAATGAATGATCAAATGAATCTAATAAATAGTGTCATTTTTAATGATCACTGTAATGCTTCCTTTATCAACTGTAATAATGACAGTATTCTTAAAGTTATTAACAATCTTTTGTGATTGTACACTCAATTAAGTTTGATAAGATTAAATATTATTCAAGTAACTATACATTCATTTCTACAATCATATAATCAATAATATTACTTTATTTTATAGGGTTGTACTGATGTATTAAATCAATTCGGTAGCCAATTTCTAACTATTGGTACAGTTTTCTCATTTATGTTCATAATCCTTGAAATAATAACAATTGGATGTTCCATATATTTAACTGCATATATCGATGCAAAAGATCAGAGATGACATCTTTTTTTTTCTTATCGCATCAATCACTGAGATTATTATTATGAATGGTTAAGAAGTCATTGAAATTAGTACACTATTGATCTTTTGTAAAATGATTTACAATATCTTTGTAAGTAAATAAGATGTAATTAGAAATCATTATTATATTTACATGTTTTTTTTATGTAAATACTTTATATTTGTCTTTCACTTTTATTTTTCAAGTTGTTGAGTAAATAAAACATCTCATCACATAATTTATCCATTTAGAAGAATCCTTTAAAAGATGTTCATTTTAAAAGTTAGATAGTCATTTGTGTTATTGAAAGATTATAGTTCTATGAATGATTGTATTATTTGGTTGAAATCATGAGTCAGTTGAAGCTAGATCATCATTGAAAACCTGGAAGTACTGGACGGCCGTTTCGTCTTGGTATGGGACTCCTCAGCAGTGCGTATCCGCAATCCCGCACCCCGCTGGATTCGAACCCAAGACCTAGTGGTTTCGCGCGCGAGCACTTGACCATTAGACCACTGAGCCGGCATCCACTGGTATTAATGTCTAACTTCAACCAATCCACGAAGTTGCGCCACCGTACACCATTGTCTTCAGTGAGTTCCTATCTCACAACAGACCTGGTTGAACTCCAATGGTAACGACTTCTCACTAGAATTCCAGGAGTGTCTCCTGAAGTCAGTCACTAGTGAGCAGGTGATTATTATTATCAGAATGGGTTTTCTGGAGATTTTTAGAAATTACACTGGTTGAAATCATGAGTAAATCGAAGCTAGATCACCGTGGAAAACCTGGAAGCACTGGACAGCCGTTTTGTCTTGGTATGGGACTCTTCAGCAGTGCGCATCCACGATTGTATTTTTGTTGAAATCCAACCAGTTTTTATATATGGAATGTGAATTTTATAATTTCTAATCAATATATTGTTACTGGATGAGGAAATTGAAAAGACATGAGAACAGTATGATCAGCTGTGTAGACAGGGTAACTGTGAATGTTTTCATGAAGATGTTTAAGTATTAGTAATCAAAAAATCTATTGAAACAACCGTTGTGATATTATGTATTGTTAATTGTCTGAATTGTCTCGTTGTTGATTGTAAGGACCATAGTTATTCAATTTCTTATTGAAGTATGTGCACTCTGAGTGGGCTGCCACACTATTATCATTAAGTTACAAGTAATTTTAAGTAAATTTGGAAGATTCAAACCCTTACAAATGAATTATAGTTCATATCCGAGACACAAGCTATTAGCTATCTGGACTCTGTAGTTAAGTGGATGATGTGTTGAGTGGTTAAAGAGAAATCTGCTAGGTTTAAGTCCCAGTGTGAACGTTAATACGGGTCCAGGTCTCTAATGGGACGAAACTTGCATCCTGAATTCCACAGTTAGCCAGTATCTACCTGTGATAATTAGAAGTATTTGGATTATTGCACGAATTAGGAATCCCATAAACAACGCAATTTAGACCATGAAAAATTAGATGAGCACTAATGAACGTATTGTATTCAGAATTCGAAATCTGGCAGTCATCAAGTTCATATAAATACCACACTAATTCTGCCTTGAAGAGCTTGTGACTTAATGGCAGTTTTAAGGCAATCCACTAAGAATGCACATGTATCAAAAAGAGACTAATTACAATATTTGGCATCAACAGCGGACTAACTCTAAACCATTACAGATACATTATTTATGATTATGAAGAGTACTTTCTCAATGACCAGTTATCATTGGATTTTTAATCCTATTCCTTCTTTAGTCATAATGAAATTGTTTAGAGAGGTAACTTCATAAGCCATAGAGTAATTAACTATCATCCCCTATTCTCACTTCAAACATATAAGTGTACTACTGAACGAAGGAATTATATAACCGTATTGTTTTCAAAGTTGAGTTTAGCCAACAGAACAAGAATAAGCAAATAATTCACTAACTCTCGTACTTATAAACCTCTTCATAAACTTTTTCACCGACAAATTATTTTTTATCAGTATAGGTGTCATGGAGATTAATAAGTTTTTGATTGAGATCATGAACCGCTTGATGTCGGACCACCGTTGGAAACCTGGAAGCACTGGACGGCCGTTTCGTCCTATTGTGGGACTCAGAAGTGCGCATCCACGATCCCGCCCGCGGGACTCGAATCCAGTGCCTTCAGTCTCGCGCGCGAACGCCTAACCTACTGGATTGGTTGGTGTTAGATACTAACACCATTGGATTCTGGTTCAGTGGTCCAGTAGGTCAAGCGTCCGCGCGCGAGACCGAAGGCCTTGGATTCGAATCCCGCGAGCGGGATCGTGGATGTGCGCTGCTGAGTTCCACAATAGGACGAAACAATCGTCTAGTACTTCCAGGTTTCCAACGGTGGTCCGACATCAAGCGGTTCATGATCTCGATCAAAAAATTAGTTTTTATCTGAATGAGCATCGGGTTAATTTTCAAATGTTTTATTTACCAAGTGGTTAGCTTATCACTACAGTTTTACTCAAAATGATGTGATAAAATTCGCAAACTAAAATTATTCAGATATAAGATAAATAACTTTATATGTACAATTGTTGAAATCTGTGATCATTTAGGTTTAAACAGTATAGAATATTATAACCAGAAAATTTTCATTTCAGTTCAAACTCAAACAACGTACCAACATTTTACTGAAATATCTTCAAATGAACAAATAGAGGATTGATAATTGTATTCAGTTAAAAGGGATCAAATATGTTATTAAATAACTGAAAATACAAATACATTCCGAGTGTTTTACATCAGTAGGTGAACTGATCTCAAATGTTTTCATAAAACTTACTTACTTACTTACTCCTGTTACTCCCAATGGAGCATAGGCCGCCGAACAGCATTCTCCAACCCACTCTGTCATGGGCCTTCTTTTCTAGTTTCATCCAATTCTTGTCCATTTTTCTCATCTCTATCTCCATTTCCCGGCGTAATGTGTTCATTGGTCTTCCCCTTTTCCTTTGCCTAGAGGATTCTATGTGAGGGCTTGTCTTGTGACGCAGTTGGGTGCTTTCCTCAATGTGTGTCCTATCCACTTCCAGCGCTTCTTCCTGATTTCTTCGTTAGCTTGAATTTGGTTTGTTCTCTCCCATAGTAGGTTGTTGCCGATAGTGTCTGGCCAACGAATCCGAAGTATTTTGAATAGACAGCTGTTAATAAACACCTGTATCTTCTGAACGATGGCTTTCGTAGTTTTCCAAGTTTCCATCCCATACACTAGAACTGTGTTGACATTTGTGTTGAAAATTCTGACCTTGGTGTTGGCTTACAGACAGTTGTTTTGATTCCCAGATGTTCTTCAGTTGTAGATATGCTGCTGTTGCTTTTCCGATCCGCGCGTTCTCATCTGCATCAGATCCGCCGTGTTCACCAATGATGCTGCTCGGATATATAAATGTTTTTACATCTTTCAAATCGGCTCCATCAAGTGTGATTCGATTGTTGCACGCTGTGCTGTATCGAAGAATCTTGCTTTTCCATTTGTGTATATTGAGATCTACTGCTGTTGAGGCTGCTGCTACACTAGTCGTCTTCTCCTGCATTTGTTGTTGTGTTTGCGATAGAAGAGCCAGATCATCTGCGAAGTCTAAATCGTCCAGCTGCATCCTAGCTGTCCAGTTTATCCCATGCTCCCCCTCAGATGTTGACGTCTTCATGATGCAGTCAATCACCACGAGAAAGAGAAAGGGTTAAAACATTTTTTCGAAAATGTTTTCATAATAATGGTAATAATTACATGATAATAGTTTTATTGTTTGTCATATATTTAATAATACGGAATTGTTGGCGTTAAAAGGTGATTAGTACTAGTACATAGCCTTAATAACAGACCAGTCATACAAAATTTGAAACCATGTTTGTTTTTGATTCAGAAATAGTTTGTACTCACATAAAACTTACCTTAGTAATAAAAGTTTCTGATGATATGAAAGTTAATAGGGGTGATATTATCATTACATCATAACGGAATGTCTATTGGTTCTTTCATTCACATTTCGTAGATAAAGATCTTAACAAGTTAATAAGTGATTCAATTGTTATTTAAAATGAATCTATCAATATAGGACAAACCATTATAAATTTAATAAATTAATTTGTTTATATAAGTCAGCGATAAATAATGTGAAACTTGACACAAAGTCTCATCGATTTAATTATAATCAACACATCAGCACAATGTCAGGTAGAATAGAAATGATATCAAAAGAAATAGAAAGGAACGATTATGAAGAGTATGGAATGTGAAAAAACAACTGAAGATTTAGATAGGGGATTTTAGATTAAAGGTAATATATACCATTGAAATCTGATTTTGAACCATTTTACTACAAATGACAATTATCTGTGGTACATAACGAAAGTAAGGTTAAAAATTATAAATAAGTTGAATTCATGAGTTAATTGAGGCTCAACCACTATGGAAACTAGGAAGCATTGGACGACCGTTTCGTCCTAGTATGGAACTTCTCAGCAGTGCGCACCCATGACCCCGCCTTAAGAGATTCGGACCCAGGATCTATCGGTACCGCGCGTGAACGCTTAACCTATGAGCATATGATCATATGCTCACTAGTGATGATCTGCAAAAGGTATTTCCTGGAGTTCTAGTGAGGGTCCGTGACCATTGGAATTCAACCGGGTCTGTTGTAAGATGGTAACTCACTGAAGACAATGGTGGACGGTGGCTCAATTTTGCGGGTTGGTTGAAGTTAGATATTAGCAAGGTCAGATGCCGGTTCAGTGGTCCAGAGATCAAGCGCTCAGGCGCGAGACCGATAGGTCTTGGCTTCGAATCTCTCGAGGTAGGATCGTAGATGAGCATTGTTGAGGAGTCCCATACTAGCATAAAATGGTTGTCCACTGCTTCCATATTTTTCATGGTGGTCTAGCTTCAATCGACTGATGAACTCAACTATTGGATTATTTCTTCGACAATAATGAGCTCTAGTACTCATGCTATCAGTAGTTTAGATTCAAGTTCAAGCGTGATTACAACCAGAGATAATTTTTTATCACCATGTTATATCTTTATGAATTTAGGCGAAAGAGTGTGCTCCCGGACATATTGAGCACATATTTCGATAACACTTAAACCAATCACTATTTTATTAATGTATATGATCATGTCCTCTAAATTTGTTGTTAGAGCAAAAGAAATAAAACCAAAATCGTTTTATTTAACAAATACCTATTTCTAATCAGAGAGGGGTTTTTTGG